TACCTTTCAAGGTTTGTCTTATCGTGAAGAGTACTTGAACGAAAATATTTATTTAGGGGGGGAAAGCACCAAAAAAGCAAACATGATGGGGTTTAAATACTGTATTTATGTTTCAACAAGTTCAAAGCTTTACGGGGAAAACATTTTTATCAGAACACTTGTATATATATTCAGGCCTAACAACTTGATAGCATAAGTTTGCCTTGCATTGTTTACATTTTAAAGCAGAAAAAAATGAAGATATTGGTAACTGTAAATGTCCACATTTTAGTGTGGGTGTGTAGCTTTTTTGAGGTAGTGCCTGAAAAAATTTAATGCTGCTTTGGGTAGCTTTCAGTTTGGCTGGAGTTACGTTAATAATTAATTGTATAGAATGGTGCCTGCAAGCTTTCTGGGAAGGCAAGGGTTAACTATGTGCTCTTATATTTGTTCTGAGGCCCTTTTTGCGCAAAGTGCCCTTTCTCCATCATGCTGCAGGTGTGTTGTGACTGACTGCAAAGTTAGTAAGAAGGCTATATTCCATGATGGAGATAAAGAGAACAGTTTTGGTGTCCATTGAGTTAAGAGGGAGAGAATTTTCACTCTTTTGCTAGTGTAGTAATGATTTTTGTTTTATTATTTGCTGAATTTGTATTTCTTCCGAAGGAGCAGGTGCTTGGCTTGACTTCTTTCTTACTAGAAGTCCAAGTGTCCTCTGTGGCTAGGAGTGCCTTTAATGAGCTTCATCTGGCTCTCCATTTACGGCCATTCCTAGACAGGGGGGGGGGGGATATCCTGACCACTGTAGTCCACGCATTGGTCACTTGGAAGCTAGATTACTATAATGAGCTCTGGCCTCTATGACTGCCATTGAGTCTGTTTCAGAAACTCCAGCTGGTGCAAAATGAGGCAGTCAGACTGCTGATGGCAGGTTCTGGTCAAGAACATGTGACACCATTGTTAAAAACAGCTGTGCTGGCTGCCTAATAATATAGACCCAGGTTGAAGGTTCTTGTATTAAATTTCTAAAGCCCCGAACAATTTAGGTCCAGGGTACTTCTGGAGCCTCCTGATTCCTTATATTCCAGCTTGATCCCTGAGATCATATGCAGGAGTGTCATTGGTCACCTGAGTTGGTGAGGCTCATTTGACAACAGCAAAAACTGAACCTTTACTGTCATTGGCCCAGTCCTGTGGAATAGATTCAGCAGGTGCCTTCTGTGCCAACTTTTAAATGCCTGCTGAAAACTTTTCTATTCCAACAGGTCTACACAGGCAAGTATGAGTACATCCTTCCACAATGGTTAATTGATGCCTATTTTAAACCTTTTACGGTTTTCATAGCATGTTTGTATTTTATTGCATTTTATTGTATTGCTTTACATTTTGTTTTACTTATTTAAAAATATTGATATATTTTAATGATGCATTATATAAACCAACAAACCAACAAACCAGTCATGTGTAAAATTGTGTTTTATTGTAGCTTCCAGTAGCTGATACCTTTTGAACAGGATACCTAAGGAGAGCTTAGGGCTTATAAACTTCAATGGTGCAATTAAAATATTAATGTGTGTCAAAGCAGGCATGTTAGGTCATGTTTACACAAACTGATGGTTGAGAAGCACTGTGAGCCACAGGAAGGCAGCAGCAGCAGCAGCAACTGGCTCTGGAGGCAGCCCTGTTTCATAAATCAAGCCTGAGGCAACCGGGATAGCACTTGGCTGCACCCACTTACTCCGTTGATAGACCTTTGGCAGTTCCTGAGTGCCAGCTCTCTCCTGAGCACTGCCTGCTTTACTGTGTCAACAGCTAAGGCCAGAGCCAGCTGTGCAAGTCTAGAGAGTCGGTAAACACTGGATGGTTATAGAAAGCATAACAATTGGCTGCTGTTGTCCAAACCTGAGATTGTGGTTAAAGATCTTACATTCTTAAGCAAGATCTGAAACCATAGGATGAACCTTGGGTTACAGAGTAGAGGACTGACCTGCTGGGAGCCTGAAGGCCCTGCTTCTCTCCATTTGGCTTGTGGCGGGGCCTCACAGGCTCCATAAAGGACTGCGACTGCTGCTGCTGCTGGGCAGAGAGGGCTCATTTTTGTTTTTTTAATTGCTTTTATTTTTTTATCTGTGTCATTTTAAATTGTGATTCATCTTAATGCTGTATTCTTAGTTTTAGATTTTATTATTTATGTGGAAATTGTTTTCCATTTGGTTGTGTACTTTTTGATGTGTTTTAGTTATTGCTTATGACTTTTGTTATGTTGGTAATTATGTACATCTTATAATGTTGTAAGCTGCCTTGAGCATTGTTTTAACTTTGGAAAGGCGGTATACAAATAAAATGATGATGGTGAAAAATGATGATGATCTGGTTCAGACAAGATGCTTAGCCAAACCTTGGTTTAGCTGCCATGCATAAACCACCAGGGAGGCGCGCAAAGTAAGAGCTCCTATCTGGGGAAATGGCCCCTTTACACAGGCCCAGTAAGCCATAGTTTAGCTTACCATGATGTGTTTACCAGGCTACAGAATGCAACAATTTTACAACAAAATAATGTCAAAATCCATTTGCTGTCTGAGAGGAGAATGAATTATTTTGAACCTTACTGATGTTTCAGTAGCTGTAACAAGGCACTAAGGTACCTAGACTAAGCAATAACAGCAATAACAGCTTCTTACATGGTTGTCAAGTTAGATCAGGCTACAGCAAGAGCTTTCCAAACTGTCAGTTGTGAGACGTTAGTGTGTCGGCTGCAGTGTGTAGAGGTGTTGGACGAATGCTCCCCACACTCTTCCAGGGGCTGGAAAGGGTTCGGTTAACTTCTGGTTTGCCAGTAAAGCTGAATTACTGTGTCGCTAAATGGTGCAAAACTGAATTACTGTATCGTGACATGATGCATGTCCAAAAAGTGTGTCACCAACTTGAAAAGTTTGACTTTGAATTGAAGGAAGTTTCTCTTCCTTGCTTTAGATATGGAATACAGTATTTTTTCTTCACTACTTGCCTTCCCCCCACCACCAGCCCAGCAAAAATGGCACTCTCAACACAGTGGGTGGTTCTGCAGTTAAGGTTGATATTACTTTTGGAACAATTGCTTCCAAGCTAAGGTGAGCGCCAGCAAACATTGCCAGCAAACATCTGAAAGGGAAGGTTGCTGGTGCTAACAGCATAAACAATTATATTGTCTTGGCTTCCATTTCTGCCCCACAACCAGTTGCATCTCTGAATATTAGGACAGCTTGTATTTCATATTGTAAGGACAGATAGGATGTGGGTTGGATATATAGTATGGGTATATAGATGCAAAATATTTATGCTTGTCTATTTTTATCCTGCAAATTAAATTAGAAGCAGATCCCGCTTCCTCTAAGGATGTTAGCAGTTGAGTTCAGCTGTTGTAGTCCTATGTATTGATTTTGGTTTAGCTATTTAGAAAAATCCAATTCTATATTAAGAAATCATGAACTAACTTTTTAAGCAAAAGATTTGTATATGCTTAAAATAAGCCACTTGGGCTGCAATCCTATATCAATTTACCTAAGAGTAGACATCATTGAACTGATTGGTACTTACACAAGGAATAACAGAAGAGATCCAGGAAGCTGCCTTTATACTGAATCAGACCACTGGTTCATCTTTGTTGTTGTTGTTTAGCTCAGTATTATCTGCAGAAGGCTCTATGCTGATTGCCAATAACCTTATCTGGAGATATCAGGGATTTTCCTTGGACTTGGATGTAGGGCTGGCTCACACATGAGGCAAGATTAGGCACCTGTCTCAGGTGTCAGGATTCATAGGGGCAGCAGAGCTGTTCTCTGAGGAATGCATTGCCTGCTGCTGCTCCTGCCGCCGCCTTTACAGCAGCCTTTCAGCGAATAGGAGGCATTGCTGGTCTCTTCCCACCCTTGTTCCCCGTGTAGATCTTTAGTCCTACCTTGTTCCTGATATAGATCTTCACTTACCCCGTCTTCCCCGGAAGGGGGATTCATTTTATGTTTCACCTTGGGCACCAAACTGTCTTTGACTGGCCCTGCTTGCATGCCAAGCATGTGTCCTACCATTGAGCTATGGCTGCTTCCTCAAGTTACTTCTTTAGGAACACACTGTTAGAGTTTAATTGCTTTTAATTAGTTTAACAGGAATAGGTGATTTATGTCCTTGTGGCCATTTTTAAAAGCCCAAAACAAAATCTATCTCAAGTTTACCTGGGGGTGAAATGCAAAATTATACTTTCTATTGCAAATATTGCTGACTTCTAAAATATTAATTCCTAATGTGAGTGAATTTGCCAAAATCTTGCAAGATCTCTCGCGCTGCATGACCTCTCACAAGATTTGAGCAAGATAGCTCTGGAAATTGGTGCCAACGCTGCTTCTGGCAGCAGAAGCAGAAGGGCAAGTGGGGCTTGTGGGCTTCCACCACCAGAGGCAGCTGCTTCACCCCACTTCCATTTCATGGGTAGGTTGGCCCTGATTGCTACATAAATTGTTACTACACCCTAAGGCAGTGTTTTCCAACCTGTGTGTCATGACCCACAAATGAGTTGCGAAGCCTGTTCAAGTGGGTCATTGGCTTTATAAGTAAACCCAAAATAATTATAACTTTTAGTCCTTAACTGGTCTGGTGAATACCTCTCACAACTTTCATTGGCTTGCTGTAATGCTTGTTAAAGGTAAAGGTAAAGGGACCCGTGACCATTAGGTCCAGTTGTGACCGACTCTGGGGTTGCGGCGCTCATCTCACTTTATTGGCCGAGGGAGCTGGTGTACAGCTTCCGGGTCATGTGGCCAGCATGACTAAGCCACTGCTGGCGAACCAGAGCAGCGCATGGAAACGCCGTTTACCTTCCCGCCGGAGTGGTGCCTATTTATCTACTTGCACTTTGACGTGCTTTCAAACTGCTAGGTTGGCAGGAGAAGGGACTGAACAACAGGAGCTCACCCCGTCGCGGGGATTCGAACTGCCGACCTTCTGATTGGCAAGTCCTAGGCTCTGTGGTTTAACCCACAGTGCCACCCATGTTAGGAGAGCCCTATTTCTTCTCACAGAGCTACAATTCCCAGAGTTCCCTGGGAAGAGAGGTTGTTAAACCCGTCTGGGAATTGTAGCTCTGTGAGGGGAAATAGGGCTCTCCTGACAACTCTATGAACCTTTCACAAACTACACACTTGTGTCACCATATGTTTTTACAATATGTTTTATAATATATTTTATCGCTTATAAAACAATATTCTGAAAACAGACAGTTGGTGTTCTTGCATTCCCATAAGCAAAACGCTGAAGAGGTCCACATGAATAGTGGTCTGAAGCAAATTTTTGCCATTAAAATGTATGAAACTGATGGCAGCCAAAGACCTAAGGTCTGCATTTCTAGCGACAATAACTCTTATGGGTCACACCACAACAAGCCATTCTGGTTATGTCAAAAAGGCTGGGAGCCACTGTACTGGAAGAAGCAAAGATCACCAGTGCTGAAGCAATGATTCTTCAACATCAACTTCGTTGGACTGGTCATGTTGTGCGGATGCCTGATGATCGTCTTCCAAAGCAACTACTCTATTTCAAACTTAAAAATGGAAAGCGTGATGCTGGTGGTCAACAAAAGAGGTTTAAAGACAGTCTCAAGGCAAATCTATACACATATATAAAGTAGTATAAACACTGACAACTGGGAAACACTGGCCTGTGAGCGCTCCAGTTGGAGAACAGCCTTTATCAAAGGTGTCATGGGCTTTGAAGACACTTGAACTCAGGACACAAGGGAGAAACATGCTAAGATGAAGGCACGCTTGACAAATCCACACCGTGATAAACTTCTGCCTGGAAACCAATGCCCCCACTGTGGAATGACGTGTGGATCCAGAACTGGCCTCCACAGTCACTTACAGACTCATTGTTAAAACCGTGTTTATGGAAGACAATCTTACTCGGCTACGAGTGATCACCAAATAAGACGAAGGCTTGGTTAAGCATGCTTGATTTCTGTAGGAGTCAAACATAAATGCCCCATGAATGGCAGGAGGATAATTTGCTTATATAACAACAACCAGTGTTATTAACTTATACTGTAAGATGGCAAAAGGTTTATTTGTGAGACTTGTAAATCACCTCATTCTGGAACTGCACAGTTGAGTGTCAGACAGTAAATTGCAATGAGCTGGACAGCAAATCTTAAAATCATTACAGGTCTTTAAATTGTCACAAAGTTTAAAAGGGAAAGGGACCAAATTGCCTGGTAAATTGGATGCAGTAAAGAAAGTGTTACCTCCAGTAATGTCTCATGAGTCTTGGTGTCATCACAGTTTCATTGCTTCTAATGCTGCACAGTAAATGTGCGCTGGGTTAATGAAGATCATTTCTTGATGTGTCAGAATGACCCCTTTGTTCCCAATTTTATTCTTTTGTTGCCAGCACCTAATCTGTTTTTGTATTATCAGATTCAGGGATCTCACAATGCTAATTCTAGCAATGGTATTTATCTGGAATGTTGCCTTTTGTTTACTAGTTTTACCAGGCCCCCAGTGCTTTTCTTTGGTCATCTGGTATCTCCCACTAATGTGATTTGCGCTCCTGGGCTCTGCAGGTTGTCATGAGCTTTTATTAGGGAATTAGACCAGGGCCTGCCACCCTAGTCGCTGGTGAATCTGCAGGATAGCTTTTTGTGTGTTTTCTTTTCTTTGCCACCTTCATTTTGAAAAACATGAACTTAAACGTTGTGTGTTCCTTCTCATTGTGTTTGATCCTTTAGAATTTATTAGCCAAAAGGCATCCCTCTAAAACTGAGAAAATTTCCACAGCACCAAAGTTTATGTGGTTCTGTCTCTGAGTTACTGTTCCTACAAGTTGGGGCACTTTTCCTGTATAGGGATTTGTCATTGTTTTGACAATCTTGTTTTATATGTAATTACACTGCACATTTGCAATCAATAGGATTTTTTCCCTTTCAAAAATTAGGACCCTTGTCAGGCTGTGGCTTGCTGAAATAAGGGACATTGGTTGTGAAATGTGGTCTTTTTAAAAGAAGGCGAATGTAGCAATCCAGTTTGAAAATAATCTTGAGAATAATCAGCCATTCAAAGCACTTTTACAGCAAGATGGATAAAATGAATCATTTTACTCTTTTTATTGATGCCAGTTTGGTGTTTTTAGCAGTGGCAAACTTTGAATTTGACTCTTGTGACCTTTGGATCACATATTGAAGCTGCAATCCTGTGTACTAAGGAGTAAGACCACTAAACACACTGGGAATTACTTTTGTCTAATGCAAAACTGATTCAAACTGTGTTTACTTGAAAGCAAATTCTATTGAAATCAGCGGGTCTTACTTCCAGGTTAAGGTGGTTCAAGAGTTTGGGGGGGAGGGTAATTACAGCAAAGTGGTGGCTTCAGTGAAAATAAACATGAAGGTTTGCTGTTGCTTGTTTTAATTCTCATATTGGAAAGAATGTAACTTTGATATTCACTGTATTTACTGGGCATCATCATTAATCACTAAAGCTAGATTTTGGTCAAACCACAATGCTTTGCTTTTAAAACCACTCTAAAGAATGCAGTTACAGGATGTATCTGATAATATGGGTAAGACATATAAATAGAGTTGTTGTGCCCTGACAGTTGTTTAAGAAGATGCCTGTGGTGCATAAAATTTCCATTTCCCTTGAAATTAGCAAAAATTTGAAATGCATTCTGTGCATTGCCTAGTATAGGGCATGTTGTTAGTTTAAGTGACTTTGTATGTACTAAAAATCTGATTCATTCTAGGGTATAACCAGTGCTTTTTTTCTTAAAGAAATGTTTAGGGGTACTCTCATTTTCCTACTCATATTGAAATACTGCCCCTCGATGAGGCCAAACTTAGATTCACAAAATGTTTAGGGGTATGCATACCCCTGCGTCCCCCCAGGAAGAAAAAAAAAGCACTGGGGGTCACGAAGAGTCGGACACGACTAAATGACTAAACAAGAACAACATAATATGTAGGACATGGAAAGAATCTGTTCTCACGTATACAAATGTTACACAATTTTAATTCTATGGGTTTCCAGTGCTTAATTAGGAACATTCTGGTTTACAAATAGCTCTTAATTGTAGATTAGATTTAAAGAGACAAATTGTGCAAGACTCTAGTCTGGAACTTTTCTTTGAAACGAAATGGGTTATATACAAAGACTGTTGTTCTCTCGCTCTCTTTTTTTTCTTTTCCAAAGTTGGCAGACTTTACAGCTCTGACCAGAGGCCAAAAGGAAGATAAATGACACCAAACCCTCTTGTATTTTTGCAATGTTTTAAACCCTGGGGTTTAGCTGAAGGGACTTAAGGAGTTTTTGAAGTGCAAATCGGTTGGTGAAGGGAAAGCCCTTTCAGAGTTTCATTTTGATGGATTTTTTTCCTGGGTGGATTTTTTGGCACTGACTGTGATCTGGAAAGCTACAGGGTGTTTTTATTTTGTTTTTGATCAACCATGCAATAAGAACTTGCCATGGGGTGTACTTTTTCTGCATTCATATTGATCCTATTGTGTTTAAAAGTAGTTAATTTAATGGGCTGTTGTTGGGTGTGTGGTTTTTTTTTTAAAAAAAACCCACCGAATAAGACATCGGTTAATGGAAGTTGTCGTTTCAAGGTCATGTTCCAATTCTGGCAACTTCTTTTTTGAATAAAAGGTTCCTGTAGAATAAAGAAATGAGTTTGGATCAGCCTGCTGATTGTGCCTTCTTTGGGATAATTAATCAATATCAATGTTTTGAATATATGTTGAGAAGCTGTTGTAAATGCAATAAAATACTATGAACACCAGAAACAGGATGATACAGTGGGCACCAAAGAAATGGGAAACTTTAATCAGGACAAAACTAACTTTAAGCCGAGTTGTTTGTTAGAATAGCATAGTAAAATATTACGCCATTGTTGACCTTATAACAAAATAGATACTAACATCTTTCTTTTTTTAAAAAAAGATACCCATGTTAGTTGTAGACTTCTGTGATATTGAGGAAAAGGCACTTGCGGATAGAGTAGTACATAATTTCTTAAAGGTTTGTAAGTTAACATTATCCTTAATGTGGGACTTCAAAGGTGCACCCTGAACTATGTGCAAGAAACGGCTGACCCATTCTCTTCAATGTCAATGATTACTAAGTCCTGTATAGTCTGCAGAGTATTCCTTGATATCAAAGGAAATGAGGAAGTCTCAGCTTTGCATAGAGCATCATGTGCACACCAAAGTCCCCCAGGAGGAATGAACAAATCTGTCCCTTTTCAGTTCTCGAAGTTGCTCATTTTTCAGTCTTAAATTTTGCAATACGGTGGAATTTATTTGTTTTTTAAAAATCAGCATGAAAATCCATCAACATTTTATCCATAAATATGTGCAAAAATCTGCACATTTTGTATGCAGTTTTGACTAATATGCATTTTTTAAAGCGGTAAGTTAATGTATGTTGTTTTCACTAACATACACATTTGTATGCACACTTCACCCTGGATGTTGCTTTTTGTACACATTACATGGCTGGAAAGTTGCATTGCAAAGTTCAGAGAAATGTGAATTTCCAAGACTGGCTGTGTTTCAGTTCAAATATTCTTTCAAACAGTGTGAAATATGAACTGAATCAAATTCCGCCCCCCCCCCCCACCTGCAGAGATAGTAGTGCATGACTTAACTGGAAATGGTACCTTATGACGTAACTGCCAATAAACTAAAATGCAAATAACATAATTTATGTTTTGAAAAATTCTGTGCACACTAACAGGGCACATAGGGGAAGCTACTTCCATACAAATGTGCATAGGATTATGTTGTACAGTGTACAATTTTAAATCTGTTTTAAAATATTAAACCACTATAGCTGGTCAAAGTTTTTTTTTTGGGGGGGGGTGTTTCCGTTTCAGAACCTCTCCTGTTTCAAAGAGCGTCTAATTTAATATTTGTTGCCTGGGAAAGTTAAGTTAAAGGCTTCTCATTTGCCTGGAGAAACTAATTTAGCTTGGGTCTCTTGCTACTGATACTGAGTGTCTCTGTTGTCATGAAACAACCCTAAAGTTTTCTACCTATGTTGGATCATGATAATACATAAAAGGTGGACTTTTTAGACCAAGAAGTGCTAATCTGCTGTGATTACTTTCAGAAGGAAGCTGAAC